ACTTCATTGTATTGCTCTTTATGGATGGTTTTCTCGGTGCATTTGTACTCTCTACTTGGGATACTACTACTTGCTCAGCTGTGTGATTTCGCAACTTGGTTTTATATATATATCGCTCACACTCATATTCCTTGCACTTTCCTTTACTAGTTTTATTCTTTTGTAATGGTGGTACTGTCATTTTTGGTGGCTTTTCCTTTGCAATCCTGACTGGTGTACTGTGTTGTCCTGTGTGGATGGTTCTTATCAGAGCAGCAACTGCCATTGCAGAAGCGTCATGCCAGTTTCTTGTGTTATCAAAGGTGGACTTCAACCGTGTTCTTAAGGTATGTATTGTCTCTGTCACAAACAAGTGAGAAGATACAAAGTAGGTTAAAGCAAAAGGAATTTGCAGCCTTAATTGTGTGCAGTCAAGCTGGTTCCATCTTCGTTCATGGCATACCACCTCGCGATCTTCCGAAATGATCCTGGTTGTCGCACGGCATCTGAACGGCTGTAATGGTCTTTGAAAGACCATTAGTATTTGGGCAAATCGTAGGGTGAACTAAGTTTGGGCCCCAAGAGGCTGATAGGGTCATTGAACGACCCTGAAAAGAAACAGGTGCCGCTTGGAATGCTGAAGCCCTGCTCTCCTAGTCACAATCTCTCGTACGGCAGGACTGTTTGTTCCACGGAATAGAAAGGAGCCAGGGCTGTGATCCAGACCACCTGGATCCGGATGTCCAGGTCCATGGTTGCAATCTGGACGTCCATGCTGCAATCCAAACCGCTGGGGTCCTGATATGCAGTTCTGTGGTCTGGGGTCTGGAACTTCCAGACAGGGGCCCTCCACATGGAATCTTTAAAGAGGGGGGTGCCTGGGACGGCGGTTTGAGTCTCAAGTGTGCCCCGGAACATTGTTTGGGGCATTTTGGGGGATCCTTGCGAAGATCCAGAAAGCGCCGGACCCCCGAATTGCTAAAGACCTGACAACTTGAAACAGACCAATAGAAGCAAGAAACAGAAAGAAAAAGGTTCAAAAAAGATACGTCTGACGTCATTGGAGCAGAAGAACCCCGGGCGAGCGAAATTAAATGAGGTAAGCAAAAGAAACTTGATTAAATGAATCTGGTCACCATAGAGCCATACACAACCACCAAGGAACAGAGGGAGTGAAATGTGACGGTTCTCTTTGAATGCCCCTCTGCCCTCCATGTGACATTATGATGGACCAAAATCCAAAAAGAACACAAACAAATACATTTTGCAGAAGGGTGATGGTTGCACGGCTGAACGACTGACTTGCAAAGTCGTATTCTACGTGGTAGTGAAGCCTAATACATCTTTGATGACCTGATGTGAAACTAATGAAATAGGGAAATGTATCTGATGGTTTCTCATGGGCATCCGACAGCCTCAGGGCCATGAAAAACGACCCTTATAAGTTATTACTCATTTTTCTTTCTTCTTCTTCTTTTTTTTTTTTTTTTTTTTTTTTTTTTTTTTTTTTTAATCTGGACCATTTCTCGATTTATGTGTGTCATCCTTGCGCAGGGGCCATGCTAATCTTCTCTGTATCTTTCCAATTTTAATGAATGTCCCGAAGGACTTTTTCCTTTCTTCTTTTTTTGAAGGAAAACACAAATTTATTTTGAGAAATGCACTCGAGGCTGTGCACCTCACAACTCTACCAGGTGAAGTACTGGGGCCATTATCCAGCTTCAGCTTCTGTTCGAAACTGGGTCCATCATCCTGTCAAAGGTCTCAAGACTCCCAACTATTAATTCATCCACAATCTCGGATCTGCAATGATCTACACCCCAACTTGGTCACTCCCAAACCCCCAAGGACACATGAGTTGCCGAGATGGATTTTTCACCACACACCATGGTCGGTAGAACTCAATTTTTCTCCCTCCTTCCCTTATACTGACCGCCAAACCATTAGTGTCCCCACTGTTACCTATGACACTCTCACTGCCTTCGGTAGCGCCGCTGCCAGTAGTCTCCTAGGTGACATTTCGATCAACTCAGATCTTCCCCTGAAACCTCTCGATCTGAAAATCCCAAGGAAGGCTAAGTTGTCAGGGCGTGTCTCCCACCGTACACCATGGTAAGCACAACTAAAGTTTGCTCCCTTCCCAACTTAGGCTGATCATGATGAATTCAAACTCAGATCTACTTCAATCTACACCCCACCCTCCTTGATCCAAAAATCCCCAAGGACGCCTGAGTTGCCAGGATGGGTTTCCCACCACAGGCCACAATGGGTACAAGTCGGGATGCTCCCTCCCTCATGCTATCTGTAAAACCAGTAGTGTTCACATTGCCACCTATGGCACTCTCCCTGCTGCCAATAGCGCCACTACCGGTATTACTCTCCTCCCCCCCCACCTTGACCATCGGAACACAACTGTGTTTTCTAATTCTTGCTCATTTGCAATCGACCAGATGTGCAAACTAAACCGAAACCCAAGCATACAGAGGTAGACAACCAATTCCCAGTCTCGTTTGGAGGCCAATCCAACCCAGTAGAGTGCAGACTAGACAAGGAGTATCATGAAAAGAAAGACAAACAAACTGTTTCTGAATCAACTGCCATCTATCCACATTCTAAATCGTTACCCAGAGAACCGGAGTTCAGGAATTTCAAGATCAAGCCTAGAGGGCCGGAGTCGAGAGTGATGTCATGGAATGTCAATGGGCTGGCTTTTAATATCCTGTCCATGCAGGACAAATGGGACAATCTGCTGAACAACCGACAATGGTTTTCACACAACCCTCCAGTTATAGTCTGCCTACAGAAAACTCACCTGACAGAATTCACTGAACGTATCCAAATGCAGGACAAAATAGTAAAAAATACTGATGAAATTGGAAAGTGTGAAAGAAAGTTACTGGGCGCCAGTGCCAGTATCAAACTCATCAGTAACAGCAATCCTGCTGAAAATCAAGACCTGCAAATCATATTAACAATTTAGCACCCCTAGTCTTTCAAGGAGACAGGGATCATGTAATATGAGTAGAGGCTCTCTTCACCTTCAAGGAAGAAGCTTTCCAACTGCTCATGATCTATGCACCCAGTGAACCGGTGCACAGAGAGGCCTTTGACCTAGTCTTTGACCCGTGCGGCGTGCCCACAAAGGGGCCCCAAAAATCAATAATTCCATTCTGCACACCGCGGTAACGAGGAAAGGAATAGTCCAAGCATGTATATGCAGTGACAAGGAACTTTAAGGAAGGAGTGGACTTTCCTACCTTAGCAGCTGACGTATCAAAGGCAACCTTGAAAGCCTTAAAGCACAAGTACATGGCCCCAGCCAAGTTGAGACCGATTGAGCCTCTCCTAAAATTTAGGAGGCTCGCGCACTGTCAATAAAATAAATCGACGGCAGGTGGCCTCCGAAAGGGGCCCGCACCGATGGCTCAGGGAACAGAAGAGCTGGAAGCAGGAATGAGCCTGACA